AATTGGAATTCCCTTTAAGAGAGAGAAGAGGTTAAAACTCCAGAAGAAAAAAAGCACAGCCACATTTAACAGCACTGCCTGACACAGTCTTTGCAACTGTAAATGCACAATCACCTCAAAGATCAATATTTGTTCTATATTTTAAGATGCGGATGCAACACAGAGAACGCTCGCTGTGCTTCCGGGAGAAGACACAGGATAATCTGGGAAAACACAACATGACGTTTTAAGGTAATGTCTAAAAATCAGGATGATCACCCAGCTGAGATTATGGTTCAAAAATAAAGCATTGCCCTTGATATACTCCTTAGTGATACTTCTATTTGTACATCTACTGGGAAGTATAACAATTTTACACAGGCATTGTAACATCAACTTTATACTGTCTGGCTTTATTCAAATGAGAATATCCAATAAGGTTATGGCTTAAGACCACGTGCCCAGAGGTACAGGGATAAGGAAACATAAAACAACATAAAAAAAAGGACCTATAATCAAGATTTTAGGGTGTTCTGGTGTAAAAATCTTCATCTTTAGAACTAGGCAAAGTAGAACTGAATGTAGGTCAGTACTAATGCAGGTCAATGGCCATGACTATATGTGTAGGTTACTTGAATTCTTTGAGTTTCTTTACCTGTGAGATGGCAACCAGAGTCTACAGTGTGTATGTATGTGTGTGTGTGGGGGGGGGCAGAGGTCAATAAGTGATGGCCAGTTGCCTGTTTTTGTAAATAAAGTTTTATTGGAATACAGCCATACTCCTTGTCTATGAATGCTTTCTGTTACAGAGGCAAAGTTAAGAATGACAACAGAAAACCTAAAATGTTTACCATCTGTCCTTTCCGGTAACTGGTAGCCAATCCCTCCCTGGTCTGTGAGGTTGCTGTATGGACTAGAAATTATTTAACATAGTGTGTGGTACATGGTAGCTGTCTTGTTAGATCATTATTCAAGTAAGGGAAAGGTTAAAGTCATATAACCTAGGAAGAAAATGTTTCAACTGCCAAATTCTGTTGATCAATGAATCCTTAATCATCTGAGAAGAGGCTCTTACCCAAAGTGCTTCACTTAGTTGACAGAAAAGATAGTAACCTATACTTTACTCTATGGAAAAATGATGCAGGATAAATGCAAAGTAAAAGGACAATAAGATACCATTTCTCACCTATCAGACTGGCAAAAATCTCAAGTCTGACAACTTACTTTGTTGGTGAGGCACTGGGGAAATGCTCTCATGCATTTTTACTAGGAGTGCAAATTGTTGAAACTCTAGGGAGTGAAACTTGGCAAGATTAGCAAAATTCCAGATAATTTACTCATCAATTATCCTTGGGAATCTAATCCCTAAGATATCTGGCAAAAGCACAAGTGTGCACAGGGTTATTCATCACAACATTCTTCTGTAAAAGCAAAAGACTGAAAATAGCCTGAATGTGCCCCATGAGGTACTGGAAAAGAAGGAGTTAAAGCAAGTCATTTGTGATCCATTTTTCTCTGATTACCAAAGAGATATACTGGGGTTGAGGGAAGAAGGTAAGTGACCTGATTTCACTTCTTGTAAAAATATGAACTAGATACAGGACAAATAGAATAACTAACTAATTACTTATTTGTTTGTTTGTTTGTTTTATTTTCTTGCTAGGAAGAGTCCTCATCAAGCAAGAAAACCCTGGTTTGGGACATTAGGATAAACAAATCTTCAATCCACAGATGGAGGAGTTAAGACTCTCTGGAGAATGTCACATGAGCTCTTCAAATTTCTTAGGTGTAAACCTGGAGATGTTGCAAAATCATGTTTCCTGCTATGTGAGGGATTTGGAAATCTCACTGGAAACCTCATTTCTCACTCTGGACCAAAAAGTGTGTATAGATATAGATACAGATGTAGATATAGATATAGATATAGATATAGATATAGATATAGATGTATAAATAGAGTGATAAAGAAGAATAGGGCAAGGTTACAGGTATATGCAAGTATGAGCTTGCAGATGTGCAAATAAACACCAGAGGATTAAACCAAAAGCTCATAACCATATAACTGGGGGAAGGAAGAAGGCACAGGACATAGGGGCAGGGGACGCATATGACATTTCTCTGAAAACACTTCATATATATAAAAACATATAATTTGTACTTAGAGACACATAAATGTTATATATTCAGAAATAAAATGAGATTTTAAAAAACCCATTAAAATTGAAAAGATTCTGAAACAAAGGAACCAAATTATGTATAAAAGTTAGAATATGACCACATAGGAGAAAAAAAAAAGAAACTAAAGTAACCTAAGTTTTGAGTCTTTAGTTATACATCTTTAATGTAATATTAAAATGAAGACTGACAGCAGATTTTAAAACTTCATTTAATATTCCTGGGGCACCTGGGTGGCTAAGTCAGTGAAGCATTCAACTCTTGGTTTTGGCTCAGGTCATGATCTCATGGGTTGTGAGATCAAGCCCAGGGTCAGGCTCCATGCTCAGCAGTGGCGGGGGTGGTAAGGGGAGTTCCTGCTTGATAGTCTCTCCCTCCCACGTGCACATGACCGTAAGTAAGCACTCTCTCTCTCAAATAAATAAATCTTTTAAAAAACCAAACAAAAAAAATTTTAAACTTCATTTAATATTTTTATTATGAGTGGTAATATTAGTATTTATATTTTTGAAATATATATATATTAAAATAAATAAGTCTTGTTAAGAACCACGATTTTTAGTGAAAAAGAAAATAAATGCAAATATAGTGTCAGAGAAATTAAAAATTCTGTAAGGCTATGTCTGATTTGGAAATAATGTAAGAATTCAGCTTATTTTTTTATTTAAAAAAGGTATATGCAGGACACCTGGGTGGCTCAGTCAGTTAAACATATGACTTTGGATGGGGTCATGGTTCCTGGGACCTGAGATTGAGCCCTGCACTGGGCTCCCCGCTCAGGAGGGAGTCTGCTTCTCCCTCTCCCTCTCATCCTCACCCCTGCTCACACTCTTGCTCTCTCAAATGAATAAATAAAAAATCTTTAAAAAAATAAATTATAAAGTATTTTCTAGCTCAGCACAGAAACATGACAGTGCAGATATAATGGCCATCCCTAGTATTTAGATTGTGATTTCAAAATACCATTCTTTATAAAGAAAAGAGGGCTCCTTTCTAGGTCTGGAATGTTGGATGGGCTTGTACATCTAGTTGTTCTAGAAACAAGGAAACTATCAATGACTGGTGGTCCTGTGTCAAAAGGACACAAAGTCAGTGTGAAGTTGTTCCCCGTGACCGAAAGGGAACAAAGTGAACATAAGTGCAACAGGGGGCTAGAATAACAAGATAAACAATACCACAAACAGACAAATCCAGAATAGGAGACATTCTTCCAGCAACTGACCTGGTTTCTTGACAAGTCAATGACATGAAGAAAAATGAAATGAAGCTGGGAGGGAACCCTTACTTGAGATGTAACAAGACAGAATCTGTAGGCTTCAGTAGCATGATGATTCAAACCAGTATCTGCACGATGACATTTTTGAGATGGTCAGGAAATGCAACATTGACTGGATTATCTATGATGCCAAGGACTTACTGTTATTTGCATTTGGTACGATAGTGGCATTATGATTCTGGAAGAAAACACCCACTTTTTTTTTTTTTTTCAGAGATGTGTCCTCAATCTATGTAGGGATGAAATGACATGATGTCTGCAGTTTCCTTTAAAATATTTTAACCCTATCCCCCAAGAATAGACAAAGGAAGTATGACAAGGTCCTATCAAAGATGGATAATGACATTTCATTTGTTATTCTCTTCCCTTTGCTTATGTGTTTCTCATACTATGAAAAGAGAGTCAATAGAAAGCTTCTTTGGGAAAAGATTACACACAAAATGAAGGATTGATGCGATCTTTTATGCTTTATTTTAAGTCAGCCTGTGAGATCTGCCCATCTCAAGCCCAACTCCTGTAATAGTCTTCCTGTGAGACCTACAGTGATGGTGTAGACTCGGTGGGAGTTTAGGGAAAGAAATAAATCTTTTTTATTTTAAAATTTTAAAGTAGTTTATTATTTCTTTAAGCATTTGGTCAGCTTGGGATTAATACACATAAAAACACATTTTCAATATGATAAAAAGAACGAGTCAAAATCTGCCTTTAGAGTAAAAAAAGAAATCAAAATCACTTTTCTCTATTACAATAGCTGTACCAACACATCGAACTCCAGATAAGACACTAAAAGCCACTGGGAGGGATCTGTCCCACAGGCTGTCACTGAGTTCCAAGGCAGGTGGGTTAGTAACCTTACCGACCCTACCTCGACTTCGTCTGATGTTATAATCAGTCCATTTGGGACTGCTTTTAGGTAGGAGTGCCATGATCTCAGTTTTTAACTTAGAGCGAATAAGACCTAACAATTTTGATGACTGGGAAGATGTCAATATCAATATATTTCTTTGTTCTAAAACTGTAGAACGGGGGCACCTGGGTGGCTCAGTTGTTAAGCGGCTGCCTTCGGCTCAGGTCATGGTCCCAGGGTCCTGGGATTGAGCTCCACGTGGGGCTCCCTGCTCAGCGGGGAGCCTGCTTCTCCCTCTCCCTCTGCTGCTCCCACTCCTATTCTCTCTCTCTCTCTCTCTCATGCATGCCCTCTCTCTCCAATAAATAAATAAAATCTTTAGACAAATAAAATAAAACTCCAAAACGGAAATGACATGGGCAGTAATAAAGCTAGAAACTTCCTGGAGTTCTCCAGTTAGACAACTCGCCTTTGATGCTCTTTCCTACTTTAAGAGGATTTTCACATACGTTCCTCTACGGAAGGCAGGAATTTTATAATGAAAAGGGCTACTTTACAAGGAAACAGAGGCTCTGGAGACAAAATGATGACTGCCTCATGGGCACACAGTCCCTAAAGCAGTGGTGGTGAGACCACTGATTTATCATCAGGAAATTCCTTAGAATGAAGCAGGACATGAGACCCTGAAAGTGAAGACATGACAACAGGCTAAACCCTGCTTACCTTTCAAAGCCAATCTGCCGAAACGTCTTTTCCCATGTGGAGCCTACAAAGAGAAGGAAAGGACGTAATTAATTGATGCACATTAAGCATGCAGTTAGTTAGTTCTGTCCTGGGTTTGCAGACCCTGGCAGATACTTGGTTTTAGAGTTAAGTGAGAGGAGTTTTCCCTCAGATGCATCGTTCTCCACCTCCAGTCCCCCAACAGCCCCTTTGGAGAACAGTCCACGTAACGCGCCATGCGACAAAGAGCTCTGTCCTTTTCCTCTGGTCACGCTGCAGGCCACTAAATCATTCTCTAAACGTCTGAATGTGTCACAATAACATGGGTGAAACTCTCCTGCCAAAATTAATGCAACAGCATAGTGTAAGTTCTACTCTCTAAAACTTAACATTTAATTCCGTGGGGCCCATGGAAAGCTACATGGGCCTCTGAAGGTCCGACTCATACCAGGTTTTTATCTCATCATTGTTGAGGGACAAGGATTCACATGTCTCTCTTTCTAAAGCTAAACATTTAAATCAGAAGACTCTTGAATATAAAAATGTTGTTTCCAGTGACATGACTTGAAGAACAGTATATCCAAATCCATAAAAGAACAGCTGGGTTTGAAAAAAAAAAAAGTTTTTCTATAATTTTTTCATGTACTAGTTCTTTCCTACATTATAGGCATAATAATTTTCTGAGGACTTGATGTAAAGCAAAGTGCTCATATTTGTCAAAGACCACTCACTTTAATAAAAACTGCATTAATAAAAGTTAAGGATTGGTACTAACCCCATAATTTTACATTTTCCATCAATCCATGGCAAAATCATTTTGATTTCAGTAAATACCCACCTAGCCCTAAATCTGTGAGTTGTGTTATGCACAAAACTGCTTGATCATCACAGCATATCATCACTATCATTCTGTACAATTTCCTTCTGCAAATAGGAAATGGTAGATTCAGTCTTGGGTCTCCAAAGGCAGCTAAAAATCTACCCTTCTTCTTTTCCTCCAATCACAGTTAACTAGGTTGCTGCTATGCTTCTTTCTTGAGAACTCTGCTTTACTCTAGCGCTTTGCTGTCAGCTGACGACTCAATGTCTCCCAGGCCTTAGTCTTCTGGAAAGACAGGCAATTATACAGTATTCTCCCCAGGCCCTCTCTGAGGACTGAGCTAGTCCCAAGAGAGCATGAACATGGTGTTTCACTATGGGCTTTGGGCTCATATACTTGGTTATGATGAATCATTTTAAATAAGTATTATACATAATAAAGGACTGCCTTTTAGATATAATTACACACACACGCACAAATTTAAAGCAGATTCAGGCTTATCTCCTCGGATGAAGTCACTCTTATCCAAATTAAATTCCAATATGCTTTGCTGAGTAGGAGTGAAAGTCATGGAATTTTAGTTCACCAGCCCAGGAATTTCCATGGCTCCTGGTCCAGGGGAGTAGGCCTATATAAATGTCGTCTGTCCTGTGAATCTCATGCAAGACAATTCAAAATCCCTATCTCAGGAATTCTTGGAAGACAATTATCCCACCCTGGAGATACTAACAATTAAGACTGGCAAAACATAACATAACCTGAGTCAGAAACCACATAAAGACAGCTGGCAACTGCCTGGCCTGAGCAGAGAAGTAGGAGAGATTAAGAGTCTGTAGCCAAGTGAGAACCAGACAGTCTGAGCTCAGACCAAGTGGGAAGGGTCTAGAAAGGCTGGAGGGGTTGGTGAGGGCATTCAGATGCTATTCTTCTTGACTTGCTTCCAGGGAGAAACAAAGCACCTTTACATTTTTTCTACATTTTCATCCCCCCACCTCCCCAATCTGCTCAGTGTATTCCTAAATGGATTTTTTAAATAATTTTTTCAGAAAACCCCCCTTTTTGATAGACTCAGTCTATTATCAAGTTAAAATAAAAATAAATCATTTTGTGATCTAGTACTATCAGGCTTTTAAACATGACATTTTAATTAAGACCTAGGTTCCCTCTTCACGTTTCTTGGAAAAGTTACTCAAATAAGCAGAACAAGATAAGAGTTTTTGGTGTGAGACTTCCAGTACTCCTTAGAATAAACATTTCCAACCAATCAACCAAGCACAACAGAGATGACAGAAAAATGACTTCCTCCTAGTAGCTAGATATTAATGTTAACTGATAATTTGAGCATCTTACATCCAAAAGGCACTCATCTTTGTTTGCTGTTGATACTCTATTAATCATCTTACTATGTTAGGTATAAGACTGAATAAATTAAAATATGGTTTCTGCCCTCAAACACCACATACCCTAGAGGTTTGGGTTTTTATGTCTTTTGTGAGCACTTAGTCATGATGAAATGAGAAACACACAATAAATGGAACAGACACATCCAGATCCTCTGGCACCATGAGTATTTTTGACAGCTCGTTATTCAGTGGTTGGGGAATTCTTTTAAAGCCATTAGCCATGTTCTACATGGTAAGGTAATATTATTCTCTTTTGCTGGAGCAGTCCAACAGGGAGAGAAAAGTAGGGAAAACAAAAGTAGCTGGCAGACTTCCTTGATTCAACACTTTTTAAATGAGATTTATAATATGGAGAAGTCTAAAACATGTTACATTCTTCAGGGGAACAGCAACAAAGAAGAGGAAAATATATAGCACAGAGAAAGGGCACGAAGCTTAGAGGGATTTTTTTTTCCCTTTCCAATCATAGATGAAGTTAGAAATAATGAATTATGATTCCTCACTTCCCAAATGTCCCCAACATCCAACAACAGAACTGAAGTCTGGAATGGAGCATCATGGCGTCCAGAAGCTACAACCACACCCTAGACTCAAGGTCATTCGGTCTGCAGAGCAAGTTCCCGTATCTCCTGTCCGAGGTACCCAAGGCAAGAAAATGCCCTTTGGCACCCTGCAGCACTGACATTCCAAGGTGGGTGAGGGGGGACCACCATGCCCTGAAGCAGAAGCACAGGACATTTCCTCCTCAAATACATCAATCAGCAGTCACTCTTTTATAAGCAAAACTCTACCTATCTCTTCTCTTCTCTCTCTCTTCTCTCCCTCTCTCTCTCCCCCCATTTCCTATTGACCTCTGTAGATCCAAGCTCCAGTTCTTTCCAGAAGAGGAAGAAGTCATGGAAACTTTTTTGGGGAGCTACCTTCTCCCCGCCAATGAGCTGATTCTACTGGGGCTCCCAGTCCTACGACCTCTTCTGCCCTGTCCCAGCAGGCAAGGAAATCCAGGAGATTTGGGACCCCAAAGCTCTGAACTTCTTTACTCACAGCCTTGCCATCCTTTGGGGGCTGTTTTTCTTGTCTTGCCGTCCTTCTTCATTTTCCTTTCCTTACTCTCCTTGCTATCATTTGTCTGTCACCCTGATCTGGCTGTAATATGGAATTTAAAACAATTTTTTAATTCTACAAAATTTTACATGTCTGATTATTAGCTTTGGTAGCATGCAAGAGCCTCTAATAGAAGTTATATCATCAAACACCTTCCCACACCACTTTCCATCCAGGACCTATGATTTTCCCTAATTTCCTTGAACACTCAGCATGCCCAGCAGGAGTTCATTTTGTACAAATAGTCATGTATAGAATGCCACATGCCAACATGTCACTTGAAGATGAGGGCACAGAGCTGATTCATTTTTACTTCTAATTTTTTTGTAGTAGTCGTTTAAAATCACGGGACTTTACCTGTCCCCTGAAACAGACATTAGAGTCCCAGGATTTGCAACAAGGTCCCTTTCAGTTTGTAATTTTCTGTTTTTCATAAACATTAAGGAGACTGCGAAAAAATATATCTTTGTGTTGTAAATTGGTTACTTGCTTTATTATCACGTTTCCTCTGTGATTACTATTCTCATTCTTTCAATCAACTTGTTGCTCAGCTTCTAATACAAGAAGAAAGGAACTGGATTTTTCCTCCAAGTTTCATAATGCAGTGGTGAAACTGGTAGCCAAATGAGGCAGAGTTTCTTCTAATTGAAGTTTTATACCAAGTACATCTGAGATGTTGAGAGCCACTTGAACTTGGACCTGAACCTCTGTGTTTTTTCTAAATAATTAGCAGAAAAGGACTAATAATTCATAGGAGTGGTAGATTTTTGCCAGCACATTCCTATAAAAAAATGGAAGTATTTTTATATACGGAAGAGGTTGCCAGGCAGTGGACCATGTGAGCTGGCCCAGAAACGGGTGATCAAACACAAATATCAGAAAATGATACTGCTTCAAAATTTTCTAGTGGGAGCTCCATTTACTTTATTTTTAACTCTTTTTTTTTTTTAAGACTTTATTTATTTACTAGAGAGAGAGAGAGAGGGAGCAAACGAAAGCACAAGCCCAAGCTGGGGGGATGGGGAGAGGCAGCAGATGGAGAGGAAGAGGCAGGCTCCCCACTAATCAGGGAGCCCAATGCGGGACTCGATTCCAGGACCCTGAGATCATGACCTGAGCCGAAGGCAGTTGTTTAACCAACTGAGCCACCCAGGTGCCCCTATATCTAACTCCTACAAAGATTTTCACATCTAATCTAAGAGTTGATTTTTTTTTTTAAGATTTTATTTATTTATTTGACAGACAGAGATCACAAGTAGGCAGAGAGATAGGCAGAGAGAGAGAGAGGGAAGTAGGCTCCCTGCTGAGCAGAGAGCCCGATGCGGGGCTCAATCCCAGGACCCTGAGATCATGTCCTGAGCCGAAGGCAGAAGCTTTAACCCACTGAGCACCCAGGCGCCCCTAAGAGTTGGGTTTTAACCTTGCATCAAAGGTTGACCATATGTGCAATTCTGGAAGAAGAACAGATCTTTTCAATGGGCCAGTAGTGACATTCATTTCTCAAATATTAAAATGCCCTGGTGTTGAATGGTAGTTAAAATCTATTAAACCACAGAAATGGCTGACCTAAGGAATGATATGAACCCAAGTTATGCAACCTTTCCTGCCAGTGAGTATGACTGCGGCACTTTGGGTTAAACGGTGAGAACTTAAAAATTTTCTGAGTCCTAATTCCCAGATTAGATTTGTCATTAATTGGTTAAAATTAACTGTAAA